TTAAAGGGATAAGCCGAACCCGACACCCGTCCGCCGACGCTGAGTAGTCGTAAAAGACCCCCCCCCCCCTCCTCTCCCTCCGGCCCGGGCCGAGGCCGAGCCACTAGGGCGGCCAGCCCAGGAGTGCACGACAAAATCTTGGACGACGCACGACGAGACCTCTGCTTAAATCTTCGCTTTTTGCGCTTTAGCGCACGCGAAGCCTAATAATGGGAAGCGGAAGAAGGGGATATGTACAAAATAGACCTTTTATCCAAACTTAGTAGCAACGCCCCACGCTGATAGTTTCCAGAGACAATATTTATTGTGATCAAAATTCAAAATTCTGGCCACGGTAGTTGATTATTGTGACAACTCCGCATCAACTACCGTGGCTAAGAGTTCAAATATTGATCACAGTAAAGAGGTTGTCGCTGGACTGGACAAAAATAGCCGGGTGACTGTACGAATAATCGCTTTGGACAGAACGTCTATCTGTACTTTTCAGGAAATCGAAAAAACTATTTGCACACAACATTCTAGGAATGTTTATGATGCAGATGAAATCCACTTCGATCAAGGATATTAGACTACTGGCACTTTGCACTATTTCAATACTGTATCACGTTCCTTGATGGAGATATCAGACTGAACTCTCTTCACGATTGTGACATACGGAGACAATTCAACTTAACCCTTTTTACATGTTCAGAAATTAGAGGCAAGTCATTGGAAAATGGCAAAAAGGGTTTAGTCGACTTAAATCTTTATTCAAGAGATGCAAAAGGAGGCAAAATGAGCCAAAATGAGATAAATCCTTCTTTTGAGAAAAAAACCGTTAACAATTCATGTTTAATTTGGTAACCTTTGGGGTGGGTCTAACTGACTGCACCGATAAAAAGTTATCCTGTCCAGAAAAGCGACAAATGAGAGGAATCACAAAAAAATAGTTATGGCGGAAATGGGGGTTAATTTATCACAAATCCAGACTTCACAGGTGTGTCAGCATTTCGTGGGCTAACTATATAGTGGCCATACTTAAACTGTAAGGGAGGTGGGGCAGTGTGTAACAGATTTTGGAATTTGGCTATGAAAGTCAAACTATGTAAAAATTGTGGATAAAGCGGACGGAAAAGGATAGATTGGACCTTCACCAAGCCTAAAATGTGCTCGGATGTATTACTAGGCGCATTCATGGATGATCAAGACAAACACGACGCGTCCGTGCAACAATAGCCTGTTTCGCTGCCCCGAAAGACTAGCCTATCTAGCTTCAAGCGCGTTACGATAAAACATGTATTAGAGATTTGAACAGTTAAGACAATTCATAGCCGGTAGTTGTAAAGAAAAACGTCGTCGCATCGCAGTCAGCACACATTCCTGTACGTTTCTGTGCAAGTTGCAGACGAAATGGATGGCCCGTTCTCCAGTTATGTGCCTCCGGCCACTTTCTTTGAGCTAACGAAGCGCGCTAGCTATTGCCCCCAAGGATTTTTGCTGATCTCGAACGTGACGTGACATCTTGTCACGTATTTTAAAGAGCCACAACATCACACCACAACAACACAGACCTTCGGCTTCTACTTCTACGGCAACACCAAGTCTCCAACTCGTTCTTCTGCGCAGGCGCGGGGGAAGCCAAAATCAAACCGGCGAGAGAGGCGGGCCTAGGTTGGCCTGGGTGGGCGAGCAGTAGGACCCGGACCCGCAGGTACTACCCGGGGAACCCGATAACCCGAGTACCCGGGGTTACCCGTTGTGGGTCTACCTACAGGTGGGTAAACTCGGGTTACACCGGTACGCGGGTACAAGTGAGAGCCCCAGGAGCAGATAGGATAGTAGCGATAGTCGCGCCTGGGCGAGCCTACACGGAAAAAAAGGGTTGGTCGTGGTGACCAGATGATCCTGGTTGAGAGTGAATTGGTTGTAAGCATCGAACCGCTTGGTTGTGGCAGCCGGCTGGGTTCCCTGTCGTGTTACAACTCGCTTCGTAAGGTCTGTTCGATCGCTACCATAGAATAGCGTGTTTAACTCAATACAACCCAAAAAGTCAGTTAGGCTAGTCTTTCGGGGCAGCGAAACAGATAGGCTATTGTTGTACGGACGCGTCGAACAATTGTCCTTCAGTGACACTGTTTTATCGTTTCGAGATTGCAGGGTGGACTTCCTGGGACTGGAGCAGGCACGTGCACTCGCTCGGACAGCCTGACCCTATGGTGTCCGGGATCGACCTCAGTCCGCTGGCTGGCATCAGGGTCATCAGCACCATGATCATCGTGTGCCTGCACAGAGGGTTTCGCACGATGCGCGTGGCCACCTCCAACGCTGAGTACTTAACGTCCTGGGTACGTGCTCGCCCAATGCCGTCGCCGTGCGCCTTGAAGCGTTACCAGGGTTGGTTTTACATGTCCCATCGGCAGGCACGCTCCCACTCCAGGTTTGCTTGGGTGTACAGAGGCACCCTGTGTGTGGACACCTTCTTCTTGCTGGCGGGGCTGCTCCTCGCCGCCGTCACGCGGGCCGACAGGAAGTCCTCCTTCCCAAACATCATGTTCAACAGAGCCCTGAGGTAAGCGCATGGCGTGACGCTCTGTCTCAGGATCAGAATGACGTCAGCTTCTCTATATAGCCTGACGATGCAACAAGTGCGATTTTTTGGAGGTAATGTGCCAGGCTGCTACCCGTGTACGCCATCGTGGTGCTGTTCTGCTGCACCGCTCTCCCCGACATGGGGGAAGGCCCACTGTGGGTCGAGGTGGCTCAGCCAGTGGCCGACTCTTGCAGGAAGTGGTGGTGGTCCAACCTCCTGTTCATCCAGAACTACGTCAACGGGGGGACGGACGAACCGATGGTGAGTCCTCACCTGGCGCATCTAGCGCTGAGGCGATCCAAACATGATTTATTTAAATCAAAGTGACCCCTCGGGAAAAATTATTGTCGGGCAAAAATAGTCCCTATTAAAATACAGTTTTCTGATTTTTTGGAGCACTGTAGCTCAAACGGTTCGGAAGTTATGGGCATTGAAAGTTTTAAAAGTGGTTTTCACTGAAATATCGTAAAAACGTCCCCTGTCGGAGCCAGGACGCTCGAGGAGGCGATCGGGCATGTGCCTGGACGTAAAATGATCTCAGGATCCGATTCCGGCCGCATATTCGCCCTTGTTTGTCCGTCCTAAACAGATTCGCCAGAGTTTGCACGGATGCGTCGATTCGGTCAAATTACGGGGAAGTACGCCATCTAAGCTCGCTAAAACGCATGATTTTAAAACGAATTTTTGCGTATTGGGGTATAAGGAGTTTAGAAACGCCCATTGTACGGCCAGAATCGGATTCCTGAGATCATTTTACGTCCCGGTTCAAGCCCGATCACCTTCCAAGAGGTCCTGGCTCCGGCAGGAGACGTTTTTACGATATTTCAGTGAAAACCCCTTGAAAAACTTCAAATACCCTTAACTTCTGAACCGTTTGAGCTACAGCGCTCCAAAAAAATCAGGAAAATGTATCTTATAGGAACCGATTTTAGGGCAAAAAAAATTCCCGAGGTGTCACTTTGATTTAAATAAATCATGTTTGGATCGCCTCCGCTCTGAAACTGCCACCACCCGCACTCGACTCAACTCCACTTCTGAAGTGCATGGAACACTCCTGGTCGCTGGCGGTGGACATGCACTTGTTCATCGCGGGCACGCTGCTGCTGCGCTGGCTGCCGGTCGGGATGCGCGGACTGGCAGCGCTGCTTGGGCTGGCTGTGCTCGCCACCGTGCCACTGACCGTTGGCACCCTGCTGGGCGGGTGGCCCGCGACGCCACCGTGGACGCTGCGCAACATCCAGCGCGTATGGGCGATGCCCTTCTTGTATCAGGCCTACGTACCAACGCACATGCGCGCTCCGCCCTACCTGCTCGGGCTCGCCGCTGGAAAGGCTCTGCACATGCTCAAGGTCAGCCTCCCCCCCCCCCCCCTTTCCCTACGGGCGGGTGTTATCGCCTTTCACTGATGGACTACCCCATGGAAAATGCACGTTTCATCAACGTCGGCAGGATGTAGCTGATCTACACCCACACCCAGAAGACCGTTTAGTCCATATAACCAAATTCAAAACCGACGAAATTTTAGCTCTTGGGACTAAAATTTTATTTGTGGCGACGAAATAATTTGGTCTATGACTTAATTTGATTGGTGCGACTATATTTAGTTAAAAATAGGGTTACTAAATTTTAGTCGGTTTTAGGAACTAAATTTTGGTTCTTACAACCCTGATTTAGTTGTATCAACTAAATGGTTCTCTGGGTGCAGAGAAGTACCTTTTTGGATCAAGCAAAATGTTCTTGACTTGAACCTGTACTTGAATATTGTATTTCTACCAAAACCATACTATTTGATTGAAATCTACAGTGGTATTGATGGAATGAAAATCATCTTGGATTAAGCACAGTATTCAAGTACAAAGTCCAGGGCAAGAACATTTTGATTGATCGGGATGTATAGATCGCAACAATAGATTCGATGTAGATGCAACGTGTTTAATAAGTGGTTCTCTTCTACGTGGTCGCAACTTCGCTGCTACGTGTTACTAGAAACCATGTTGCAGAGGAGGTGCATATAAAATTTGGGGTCTCTTTCTTGATCGGCCTTGAGGTGCGTAGCTTTGATTTCATATTATTCACTCCGGAGGACCTCTCCGCAAGCCGGAGGCTCCAGACCTATCTCTCGAGTTCCGGAGTTTACAAGCAGGCCCGCCCTTCTGCCAAAGGAAGAGGCCAGCTACACTTCGCTCCGCCGAAAACTCCGGTCGTCAGGGGCTGGGCCTGCTTGGCCCTGCCGGCGGCGGCGTTTGGTCGGGCCTAGGACCCGACCCATAAGTCACTTTTTGTATTTGTATAAACTTAGAGTTCCGGGCGGACCCGCGGCCCTTTAAACGAGGGGCAGTGACTTCTAGTATTCACGGTTCACGAGGGGATTAATACCTCCAGTATTCAGGCGATATTCAGTGATTATTCACTGATATTCACTGTTAGAGTGTATTCACAGTGCACGAAATTTCGGAGTTGGTGCCCCCTCGCCTTTAAACTTAACATATCGAAAAAAAGCTAATAGATAAAAGCTCATAGATTTGATTTTTTTCGGGAGGAAGGAGGTGACCGATTCCAGATATAATAGTTCACGCCATACCTCCATTCATAAAGAGTCTAAATATATTTTAGTTGTCTGTGTAAGACCAACGACACGACCTTAAAGTAGTACACAGTGACAAGATGCTGTCCCGTTTTTATCACACGAAAAGTATAAAGTACCTCACTTTGAATTACACACTGATAAACTAAGTGTTCAACTGCTCTACACTTGTAAGTGTGCAACTGCAAGTTAAATACTTGCAAGTGTTCGACTCCGTAGTCGTACACTTGCAAGTGTTCAACTTGGAAGGTGTTCACTTGCAAGTGTACAACTCCTCGGTTGCACACTTCTTAGATTGATCGGTCACTGTGTAGGAAGTGTTCAACTGAGGAGTTGCACACTTGCAAGTGTACACCTACTGAGTTGCACACTTGCAGTTGCACACTTGCAAGTATTTAGCTAGCAGTTGCACACTTACAAGTGTTGAGCAGTTGGACACTCAGTTTATCAGTGCAGTAGTTGTGCGACAAGCGGCGACAAGCACGCAGTCAGAGTGCAGTTCCAGCTCGCAGTTTTGTTACGAATACATTTCGGTATACACAATGTTATTTATAGTAGCTAAGCGTGAGGCATTTTAAACCATATTCACCGTAGGCGTTCTCCCCGTGGAATGGATTGACAAATATTGCAATCTTTGGCGAAAGAAACAAGTGTAGAGACGGGCGATGTGATTCGTGTTAAAGTACTTTTGTCTGTCACTTTAGTCTCGGTTTTTGAAGGTACGATCTTCTAAAAACTCCAAATATTTCGGATCTCCCAAATGGCCCGTTTGATTAGAATTACCTTAATTCATAACCTTGACTTCACGACCAGAACGCAGGCTTCAGGCCCGGACGAGCGGTGACGCTTCTCGCGACAGTGGCGAGCCTGGCCAGTATGGTGGCGGTCGTGTGCTTCGGCGCGTCCCTCAACGACCTCCGGGTGCCCTACTCAGCCCTTGCCAGCGGACTTTATGCCGGACTCGCCCCCTTTGCCTGGTCCGCCGCCATCGCCGTCCTAATCATCGTCACCGTGCTGGGGGAGCCGAGTGAGTACCCGACCCGCCTTTCAATGGCTGATCACTGACCTACCACTGCACCCAGAAAACAGCATTCTTGGGCTTGGTTTATTCAAGCCGATTTTCTTAATTCAACTAGCTCTATGTGCGCCAGGCGCGTCGCAGCGAAACAAACAGTGCTTCGTGAGATAGCGAAGCCTGTCACGCGAGACGTGGTCTGGCGTACGTACAGCTAGTAAGCGTTATCGTTACATCTGATATTTTTAACACACTATCGCTCAGCCACAACACTACGGGCCTGCCGCACGTACCCCTACGTGCGCGTATTTTGGCATAAATGCACAGATCTTTATCGCATAATTCGTGTTTTTTACTATTATAATGGCCACAGAATTGACCAGATTTTGCGCGCACAATTTCGCACGAATATTCGCTTAAGGTGCCCATTCCTACCCCCGACCCCAACCTCTGCCCTGGCAGGCGTGGTGCGCTCCCTGCTCTCCTGGCAGCCGCTCGTGACGCTGAGCCGCCTTACCTTCCCCGTCTACCTCGTTTCCTACCCGCTGCAGACTCTGCTCACCGCGGCGCATAGAGACGCCGTGCGCTTCACCCCGCTCGCCATGGTAAAACTATCTAATTACACTACGGCCTGTCTCTCCTTATTGAAAAATAGTTATCATAATAATCCCATGACGTTTGCAGGTACCCGATGCGATGAGTGATTGCGTCATTTCATTTGCCGTAAGTTTCTGGCTGTTCGTCGTCGTGGAAGCTCCTATCCGTTCTGTGGCAAAGAAGGCTCTATCCAGGTTAGTTTTATGTTAGTGTAACAATATAAGACCTCTTTTAAGTGACCAGATGTGTAAACTATTTGTCTTTTTGCTTGTAGATTGGGCGATTCATCTAAACCGCAAAGCAAAACAGCATTGATTAGGAAGTCAGACTAAAGCCTAGAATGAATAGCCGTTACTTGGGGTGCTAATCGTGGACTTGTAGGCCTATCGCGGTGAGGTTGTTGGTGCCCCATGAAACCAGTCCGAACCCACCACGGTGGAGGGAGAAAAGGTGGTGGCACTTGGGTCTCCTAGCAGAGGGACCCGTGGTTCCAAAATCTCGACAGGTTGGGGGATTAACTTCCAAGTCTAGCCACAAAACCTGGCCACCTGGACTGCAGCTACTCCGCACCCGCCTGTAAGATAGCCACGACTTGGCCGTAAATCCCCCAATTTTTCGAGATTTTGGAACCACGAGCAGACCCTAAGTGCCGCTACGTCCTCTCCCTCCAGTGTTGAGCCCACAAAGTCGTTTTATTTTCTGTACAACAATGTGTAATTATGTATATTTATGTACATTTATGTTTCGAGAGTACCAACTCGATCTATCTAACGGCGTTATCAGACAAAATCGAAGACCACGGCTGTTAAATACACAGTCCCCTCGACCAGGCCACGAAGCTAATCCCTCAGTTTCTCGTACACCTGAAAGTTTATGTTGAAGTACAACAGTCCATTCCGACCTATCCGGCAGTTTGGGGGACTGTCTAAGAATGGGTATAAAGACTGTTTGGACTCTCTAAGGAAACTGCTTAATTCTGCAGACAAATTTTGTCAAAGGTTGTTGGTCTCCAGGGTCTTGTGGGATTCTGATGCAAAGTCTTCTGCAAGTGAAAAATAAATATTAGAGTGCATATCAAGCAGTTGTTGCCTAATATATTGAAACATTAATACACTGTGTTTTACTCGTGTTGAATTTTATTTAAAAATGCATGCTTTAATGAAAAACACACCCTATCTTTAAATTCATACATCGCAGGCAAGGGGTTTTCGAGTTAACCTAGGGTTATGGTAGTCAGAACTGGATCCATTGTAGTAAAGACCATACTTCTTTCAAAAAGCAATTTCATGTTTCAATGTAATGGCGTTGGAAACATTTGCATCATGCACCATCACTACTATTTTACCGACATAAATGCATCCATCATCATCTTTTCCAAAAAGTAGCCACTTTTCACATTTGTACTTGATCTCATTAAGTGTGAGGGCTTTCACAACTACAGCATTTTCAGTAAAATTGCAAGACACAAGGACGTTTTTCATGTCCTCTTTACAGTCTTCGATTTTAAGAGGAAAGCTTTCAAAAAATATTGGGACTTTGGGAAATAGGGTCGAAAAGTTCAAGTACGACTGCAAAAGTAAGCTCTTTGATACCAAAGCAAAGCGAAGATTGATAAAGTTCTGACCAATATTTGATACCCGTTAAAAAACCGGTGTCTGTGTTCAAAAGCAAGGGGCCAATGGCTGATCTGACTTGTGTGTGTGGCGTTAGAATAATATGTCATACTATTCCTAAAATTGAATCATAAGTAAAAAAAAAATAAAAAGTTGTCGTAGCAACATCATACTGACTTTTCAATAGTCATACAATAAATTTTCCTTCATATTCGCGGTGCAGTCAGCTTGTCCTACCCACTTTTTGCCCTACCTGAATATTTTAATTCAACAGTCGAATAT